TTAGAAAGAAAAACCTCCAGAACACAGCCAAACAGCCCGAAAAACCTACAACAACCATTGGATCCCGGTTGTGAAGGCCTTTGAGAATACATTTAACAAATACTTAGGTTTTTGGTTAAAACTAGCATCTGTTATATAATACCAGTCAAAGTTTTTATAATTTGTAGTAGTAGTAGTAGTAGTAGTAGTAGTAGTAGTAGTAGTAGTAGTGATCTGCAAGCAGGGTAGAAATGGAGTTCAGAGCCATGTCTCTCTTTGTGCTGAGGAGTGTTTTTCAAGGTGTTCTGCTGGCTGAAAGGTGCTTGTTCCCTCTCTCCTTTGCTGCCCCTTCCCCCCCCCCAAAAGGTGCTTGTCTTGCCTTGTCTTGGCTGAAAATGTGCTTTTCAAGGAGTTCTGGTGAAAAGGTGTCTGTTCCCTCCTTCCCTCCCTCTTTTCTTTCCTTTTTTTAAAATCTAAGTCATCTTAGGTTAAAAGGGCAAAAAAAGAAAAAGAAAAACTTCTGCCCCTAGTGGTAGGAACGGATTAAGCAGCTTTGCATTAGTTCCTATGGGAACTAATGATTCGAGTTACAAACCGCTGCTCGACTTAAGAACCAAAAACAGCCGGGACAAATTAAATGGTTTTCAATACATTCCAATGGGAAAATTGGTTTCGACTTACAAACTTTTCGAGTTACAAACGGACTTTCGGAACGGATTAAGTTCGTAAGTAGAGGGCCCACTGTATAGTATTTGCAAGAGAAATATATTTCCACAATGTCATTACTAGAGGGAGTCAGATGCCCTGTTATGCATAGGGTTTGTTATTAAAATAGTTAATATAGTTTAGCATCTTGGCAGGGGGGGCTTGGAATTGATCCCCCGCTGGTACATGGCTCCTACTGAATTTTGCATTATTATTCCTGAATCTTGTAATACCTCTAAATACAGTGGTGCCTCGCATAGCGATAGCATCTGGGCAGGGGGGCTTGGAATTGATCCCCCGCTGGTACAGGGCTCCTACTGAATTTTGCATTATTATTCTTGAATTTTGTAACACCTCTAAATATGTGATATATATCTCATATGACATAATTAATAATCACTGCTCATATGCTTTGCTTTCTGTTTTAGAAGTTAACCTTTTCTTGGTCGCTGCTCATGAATTTGGGCATTCTTTGGGTTTGGCTCATTCAAATGTCCGTGGTGCTTTGATGCACCCTACCTATAGCTACAGGAACCCAAATACTTTCCAACTTCCAGAAGATGACAGGCGTGGAATACAGAGCCTCTACGGTAATATCTTTTACTCATGTGAATGTAGTGGGTGGAGGTCTGCAATTAAGTGACACGTTTCGGTATCTTAGGTGCTGTAGAGCTGTAGCTGCTGGAATGCACACTCAGGCTTTTCAAATTCATTAAGAATGTCTGCATTGTCTGCCTGTCACACACACAGTATTTTGCAAGGGTTTGCCTCTGTGACATCAGGAAGACCCATCTCTTCGCCTCAGGCTTTGGCCCTCTAATCTCAAGAAAGGGGACAGTGCTGATCTGGCAAACCAACTTGGCAGTATATTAAGAAAGATAATCCTATTTATGGTATCACTGTGGGAAAGATCCTCTCTTTGTCATTATTCACTAAACCTCTAAACTGAGCTGACCCCTGACATTGCACTGCCTGAAACAAAGACAATCCCAGGTACAAAAGCCAAATGAAGAAACCAAGGAGCTTGCATCCTCCACAACTCAACATCTGCCATCTGGAACAGCTGCCTTGCCTTGCCTAATAGTAGAGCTAGGCCATGGTAGGCTCAAGATGTTTTGCTGCCTGAGGTGGAGGAGGCAATCCCCAACCCCAAGATGCAGAACAGCCAAGCCCACCATATTGTTTTGGCATTGGAAGTGGACAAGTGCTCTTTTGTGGCACTCCACCTCTATGGCTCTACGGCTGCCTTGCTCTGCCCCACGTTAGGTCGACCTTGACTCTGACATAGATCAAACAGCCCGTTTGGTGAGTACAAATCGTGATATCACCACAGATAGTGCTACACCATTGCAGACTATCGCCAGGCCTTACCTTGCTCCATATAATCCCCATCTTCGCACAAGTGCTGCTAATGAGCCGCAGGATTATTTCACAATACTTTGGTGCATCACGAGATAGACAGTTTTGGTAAATACGTATGCAGCACTACGACCGCCCCTACCAGATCTTTAGTGGAATGGGGAGAACAGCTGCAAACTAGAGAACGCATGGAGGCGCATGTAACCTCTAAAATAATCTTACCTGGATTCATTTCTTGAACAGTGCCTTATTTTTTTCCCATTTCTTTTTCTCCTCATTTCTTTCATACAGGCAGGAAGAACTGAATTGCTTCCATGTGCATTTTAGAAGAAGCAAAGCACTCCTCTTTTGTGTACATATATATATTCTTTTTAAAAGTATTGTATTTTTAATGAAGCAAAATGGCAATTTTCCCTTAAATTTGAAAGGGAGAATGGAATAATTAAATTGAAAAAAGAATGACCAGATTAAAACTTTAGGAAGTGGCTGGTTCAAGGGCTAAAAAAATCTTTAACATATAGGGTCAGATTATATCTGTGTGTGTGTGTGTTTATGTGTATGAGAGAGGATATAGGCTCTCAATGAGTTCACATAGGTATGCTTTGTGTCTGTCCTCCATCTTGGTTCCCCAGAGGTTTTTGGACTACAACTCCCAGAAATCCTGGGCAGCATAGCTAGTGGTAAAGGTTTCTGGGATTTTTATTCCAAGAATATCTGGGGGCCCAAACTTGAGAACCACTCATAGAACATACGAAATGCCAGAAGCATTTGCACCGGTCCCCATAGATTTTCTACTGAACACCAAGGCTGGGCAAAATGAGACTGCTTAGCCTATGTCCCATCATTTCAGATTTTGATGCCCACAGGTGCCTCCAGAACTCTTGGGAGGGTCACAATCTGCCTTTCTTTGCATGTTTGCTCCTACAACCTCCTTCTAAGACAAAAAGTCCATCTTTTGGAGTATGAGAATATTCAAGGGAAACATGTGAAGTCCCTACATCAGGCATCAAAACAGATCAGAATCCAAGAGCATTTCAGCTCGATGAGGATAAACCAGGATGTTCATCCATGCTGGTAAATCTCTGCTACTTGCAGTAGGAATGGATAAATAAACCAAGGACCTTTGCTCCATAGCCTGTTTATCATGACCAGATATGTTTATATGTTTATCGTATCGACCAGATAGGCGGGATATAAATAGAATAAATAAAATAAATAAATAATAAATAAATAAATGACATGGAAACCCAGCATGGCACCACCATCTGTCTTGTCTCTTTGCCAGCAAGTTGGTGGGGGGGGGGGAGAATCCTTGGTTTGGATTTTGTTTTTTCCTGCCTTGTCAGGCACGACACAGAATCATATCCTTCTAGATTTATATGTCATTATAAACAAACCACCAATGAAATATCTTCCAGTGCCCAGCATGCTACTAGCACCCTTCATTTCATGTACTGAATCCTGCTTGGTCTTCTCTAGAGTTGAACCTGTATTTTTTATCACAAAATTGACACTGAAAAACTTTTTACAAAAGTCAACCAAATTTAAGAGATGTTGGAGAAGGTGGTAAAAGATGGTAATCTATTCTGTACGACATTCTCAATGAATTCAATCTGTGGTACGCAAGTGAAAATTTCTCTTTACATTCGAAACTAGTGAGTAATGAAATGTCAAACAATCTACTGTTCTTTTGAAATTGGAGAAATGTTTAAATAAAACAATTCAAGCAGCAATGAAAACAAGGAAGTCTTAAGGAGAGCCTCTCATGTGGAAAAAATGTTTTAATGTCTGCCATGGGAGAACTACATGCACAGAAACATATTTGGTCCACAAAATAAATACCACTAGAGAATTGTAGTGTGGGATACATCTTTTGAAAGTGTGGCTATGTTTTATGAAAAGCAAAACTCCTGGGAGGAAAAAAGCAAAACATAAAAATACTACATAGAGGAGACTCATTTTAACCCAACTTTCATTGTGTTCTGCTACTTCTGGACTTGTAGCAATTTTTTTAAATAAGTATTTTTTTAAAATATCATTTATGGTCTGCACACTAACATGGTTGTCTATTCTACCACCTCCAAATCCATCTTGGCTTTACCATACAGGAGGCGAAATGGAATTAGGGCCTCAATATATTACTTTCAACAGCTTAATTTGATGTTATGTTGACAACATTTTCTTACATTTAAATTCTGAAATACACCAACATATCCATGCTTGACTTCCATGCTTATTTTATTGTGATGGGCAACATCCAAACTTTAGTTCCTTCTGGAGTAGATCCACTTAAATCAGTAGTGTTTACATTCCATTGGTTATCCTTAACCATACCAACATAACAAATACTATGTTCATTTCAATGGGTCTCCTTGGCTGGGACTAAAACTGGATGTAACTCTGCTTTTTTATCTTGTCATTCAATGAATTATCAAGGCTGATAAGATTAAGAAATTCAGAAATAGTTGAAACACACAAAATACGAACATTAACTACAAATTATACTGAAGCAGCATAAGATCACACAATGTCAGAAGTGAAAAACAGATCTGAACATAAAACAAACTAAAAATATTGGAATGTTTTAAAAAACAGTCTTTGAAAAGTGCCAAAATAGACATTAGATGAACCTCTTTAGAGACAGTACAAAAAACCTAATATTTTGAAGTTTATATTCCTAAGTAGCCACCTAGTACATATGACATAGAGAAGGGCCTATGATTAAAGTCTTAAGTGGAGGTAAGCAACCATTTAGGATCCAAAATTTAACTCTACATTTTGCATATAGAAAAAATACAGCATGAATACAATAGCCTATCCCAAATATAGCAGACAACCTATTAAGGAAATTGACATTACATAAGTGTTGACATACTATTTTAGCTGCTAATCCTGTGGATCTATCTGTTCTATTGGGGATTAGCAATTGGATTTAACCCCGTGTGATTTATTTACATATCTCCTGTACACCAGCTAAGACAAGAGGCAGATCTGAGAGTTGCAAATAATTTTATGGTTTTGGTGGATGTGCTTTGCTTGCTTTTTATTTGTATTTTTTTAATCAAATAAAGGGAACCACAGTCTTTACTTTGCAAGACCTGAGCCCGGCTATTAATGTAATGCTTTTTAAGTTTGATGGAGCTATTGGGTTGCATTAATGTAAGTATCTCTTAAAGGTCATTAATGCATTGGGTAGCCATAACTGAGAAGCGAATTGCAAGAATGTAACCACCACAACAACCATATTATACCATCTTAATTTACACATTACTATGAAATTATGTCCAGGGAAACCTTTACCTTTACCTACGAAATTATACTTGGTCCTAATACAGACATTGCTTGCCAGTGGATCTGAGATTTTGTTACATTCTTGTGGAGCAACAGAGCTATCACATACTATTAAAGCCCTAAAATTCTCGGTTGTTTCTGTGCATGGTTACTAATGCTTTCTCCAACAAACATCTCTAGTGTTTCCATACCCCATCTACTTCAACCCCACCTGTCATTCTACTGAAAATGTGTCAGTTATTAGGAAATACTGGTGTGAAACATTCCAGCAGTGGTTATGAACGAAACACACCAGGAAATGTTTAGGCCTACACAGAGTTTTAAGAGATAAATATTTGGCATTGGTCTTTCACTCTGTTGTCAAGCGGCTGTACTGTGCTGCTTTGTATTGTTTGTACAGGATGGCGAATGACCTTCTTGCATCACAAAGTTGTTTCTGTATAGCGTGGGATTCCATGTTTCAGTTTTGTGATGCAATGAAGCTCCTTCATACGTATAAGCACAAGTAACTTCCTGGAGTGGTCAGGATCACATTGAGCACCACCCACATGTGAACACAAGACACAGAAAAAGGACCTGCTAAAGTGACACTGGTTCTTTGTGCATCTTGCTGTGGTGGAGATGACTGAAGGCATGCAGAAGGCTAGCTCAAAACTTTGATCTGATCCATGAGCTACAGCTGTGAAATAAGGAAGCTAAGATACTCAACCTGTGGCACATGGTGGTGCTGTGGGCTAAACTGCAGAAGCCTGTGCTGCAGGGTCAGAAGACCAGCAGTCATAAGATCCATGTGACGGAGTGAGCGCACGTCACTTGTCCCAGCTCCTCACCAACCTAGCTGTTTGAAAGCATGCTAATGCAAGTAGATAAATAGCTACCACCTCGGTGGGAAGGTAAAACGGCGTTCCCTAGTCACGCTGGCCACATGGCAATGGAAACTGTGACAACTGAAAGCGCTGGCTCTACGGCTTGAAAACGGGATGAGCACCGCCCCCTAGAGTCAGACACGAATGGACTAAAAATGTCAAGGGAAACCTTTACCTTTACCTTTTTTTAAGATACTCAACCTTAAAGCTCAGAAATGTGAAGCTGGGAGTGGACTAAAAAGCTTCCAGCAACTGTGATTAGCAGATGCTGGCATTTCTTGCACCAAATTATAACTTTTCTAAGCTCTGCAGAAGGGAGGCAATTGGTGGGAGAAGATGAGGCATGCAGCTCAAAAACATGTGCTTCTGGTTTGGTTTGGTTTGGTTTGGTCCCACTGAGGGAAACCTGAAAGCTGTCTTCAATGACAATTAAAGTATGCTTGTTGTAAATGCCATCTCCTGTGCCCATGACACTAAAATTTATGGGTTCACTAGGATAAAATCAGAATTTTAGAGTACAACCCAGCTTCCATGGGAATCTAGCACTGTTTTTTTTCCATTTTCTTTCTTTGTGCCTTTAAACTCGCAGTTGCTTTGTACCATGGGTTTTGTAGTTTATAGCTGATACACACGTCTATCACAATTCCTATGTGCTTGAAAGCCTGTTTTCTGTGACTAACATTTTTATATGAGACCCAGAGAATGTCAAAGGACACATAATCCTTCACAAGTGATACTTAGTTTGGATATATGAAGCAGGGAATCACAAAGACCCATTTTAATATTCATTCATGATAGAAATATTAAAATGGTCGTTTTCTATGAGAAGTGCATGTGAATTTCACAGTGATAGCAATTTGATACGTTAACTGTTGTGATGGCATCTTAAGAGCCCCTACCATGTGTAGCTTTACTGAGGTAGTTTAAATTCTCATTTAAAGAGCTCTAGTACTATAATTCAGGGAAGCTCTCTAGCAAAGAATTCTAATTACTTCAGCAAAGTACAAACTGAAGAATTCAATAGAATGGAGTTACAGAGACTGGTCTCAAAGCGCTATAACCTCCTAAAGTAGCTACATTCAACCACAAAAGAAAGAAGCTAGCATCTTGCCCATTGCTTTGCAAATTGGGAATCCAGTTTTGTCCACCATGTCGCCTAGTGCCACACTTAACAAGAATGTGTCCATATTAGCAACAAAACACAAAATAAAGCCCAGATCCCATTGACAGATTATTCGTGGCATGCTGTTGTTCTCACTTGAGCTACTTGAGTGCCCTCAAGGTTTCAAGTGCTACATATTTTCCTCACAATCTGCAGATGTATGACTTTGTTCAACAAGGGTGGACACGCGGCTTTGAGTTCCAATCAGCTTAACTTCATCCCAAGCATTTGGGATGAGAGCTAAAAAGCCAGGTCAGCCCAAAATGTTTTGCTTCCTGAGGAAAAGGACAAGATATTGCCTCCCCTCCCTGCATTGCTTGTTCAGAAATAAACTGGATCAGCCATTTAAATTTATTTCACCATTAATGACAGGACAAGGTTCCCCCATTAACAGCCCAAAGGAACGGCCTGTTTCAGAGAATGCA